AAAACAAATTGCTCCGGGACACCAAGGTTATATCAGACAAGCTGAGTGTAGAGAGCTGGTGTAGATGGTCTCTGGGCGAGAACTGGAGATAGAAGCGACGACACAGATGTGCTATGCAAATCCAGGACCATTAAAGAGGTCGTCTTTGTTTATGTTTGTTGACCAGATTTCTGCCTCTCTGTCTGTCTGTATTTGTCAAACTTTTGGTCTCTCTGTCTTCACATCTGACTCAGAAAGTCAAAGTTTACATAGTTTAAAAGTCAAAGATCAATTGCAAATAATATATAGAGTATATTCCCAGTCCCCAGTAATGGATCAAAGAAAATATACCCAAGTCCAACCAAGAGACATGAGGCATAGAGGCCTGTTTCCTTCCCCCTGATCCAAAGATTCCGTGCAACATGCATCAGTTGATCCACCATTCTAGGTGAATGAACCATGAGTTAATAGACTATAACCGGAGACAAAGAGATAGGAAACTTTATAACTTAAACTTCATTGGTGATTGGTTTGACGGACAGCCTTTGGACAGCGATATATTTCAGAAGAAATCAGTGGATTGGAATGAATAGATTGTAAGAATGAAATCAATTATGGTTTAAGAGATGGTGAAAGTAAAAGTCCGGTCTGTGAATACAAAGGATGTGAAGGTCAAGGTTGTTGAAGCCAAGGTTGTGGAAGCTGAAGGTTTCCTATGAAAGGAGAGCTTATTATTCCCAAAGATGATGGAGGAAAAAATATATTTAAACAGTTTTAAAGAGTTTAAAGCCAAAACTGACTTATCTTATTTATCAATTATAAAAATGAACCTTGTGCACAGACTTTACATGAGGTGGCTGTTAAGCCTCTATGATTGCTGGGTCTGGTAGTTCAGTTAGTTTTTTCTCGACTCCCAATCGGAGATCTCTGGTTTGATTCCAGGGATCAATTTCACCTAATACAACTGTTCACACAAAAATAAATAGATATCCGTAGTAGAGACTCACACCAGATTATTATATCAAACTGTATGAACATTTATCTGTTTAACGAAAAAAAAAAAACTTTGAATGAAATCTTTTTATCATAAATTTTAATTTATCTTAAATTCAGACACTGTTTTCCTATCTCGATTATATTATATTAAGGAAAACTTCTAAATGAAAAGTATAAGGAGATGAGATTAAATAATTAACAGGAACACTACTAATACCCAATAATATTCAATATTACAAAATATTTTTATTAAATATGAACAAAAGGACTCTTCTCCAATGTGTAAAAATATATTGATACACAACATTTGCAGTGCAAGAAGGTATTTTACTGTCATTAATATTAATTAAAAGTTGGACTGATAAATTGCCTACTCTAGTGTTAATTATCTGCTCAAGTCCTATTAATACCTTTTATGTCTTCTGCAATTCATTTGTGCTACTGTTCACAGGATGATTAGACAATGCACAATAAGATATATATATATATATATATGTCGTACCTAATAGCCAGAACTCACTTTTCAGCCTACAATGCAAGGCCCGATTTGCCTAATAAGCCAAGTTTTCATGAATTAATATATTTTCTCTATTTTTTTTCTTATGAAATGATAAAGCAACCCATTTCATTATGTAAGATGTCAATTGTTTTTATTGGAGTTCAAATTAACGTAGATATATGACCGAACCTAACCACCCTACCTAACCTAACCTAACCTATCTTTATAGGTTAGGTTAGGTTAGGTAGCCGAAAAAAAAAAAGTTAGGTTAGGTTAGGTTAGGTAGGTTAGGTAGTCGAAAAGCAATTAATTCATGAAAACTTGGCTTATTAGGCAAATCGGGGCCTTGCATAGTAGGCTGAGAAGTGAGTTCTGGCTACTAGGTACGACATATATATATATATATATATATATATACTATATATATATATATATATATATATATATATATATTATATCTATATATATACAGTATTTGATTTTGCATTGCTACGTAAAGCTAATTAAATTATCTTTCACAAGTTTTCTGGACATCAAGCCTCACTAAGTTCTCACAATAGTTACTGTTGAGTACGTACTTAACTCTGCTGGATTGGGGTTTACACCATTCAAACGAGTACCACATAACACTATGCCAAAGTGACCCCCCACCCCCACCCCTGAAATCCACGATGAATCTGGCACTAATCAAACCCTTGAAAAACAAAATGTAACCAAAAATAAATATTATAAAACGCTATGCACTGATCTTGGGAAAACTAACATGCATTTTTCTACTGGTCATACTATGTTAATAGTAGTAAAAACTAATTTTAACGTCGTCAGCTCCCCATAGGGGCTTGGAGTGATAGGAGGTCCTCACCTTGAGCCTCATCCACCAGTGCCACACGTCCCAAACACACGTTTAGGCATGGACGCCTGACAGCTGGGTGGACAACGCTTCGAATTCGTAGTCCTGAGGTTCCGGGTTCGATCTCCGGTGGAGGCAGAGA